GAGCTAATGTAGTGTCTCCTCCTGCTCCTAGTACTACTACTAGTAGTCGTCCGCCGTCATTGCCTCCTCCTATTCCTTCTCCAATGACCATAAATGCTCTACAATTTCAAAGACAAAATGACTTGATCTTGTTGGTAGATCATGATCATGATCACGAACGAGTACTACATCGCGATGAGGTTGTAGTCACCATTGTTTGTGATGATGATGTTTCAACAAAGAACAACTCAGGGGAGGATTCTGAATTCAGTGGCAATAACATTATTGGAAATGAATTCAGAAGATCAACCTCTTTAGGTGCATTTTCAAGACAACATCTTTTTGTGTGCAATCCTGTTTCAATGAACAGATCTGTCTCCACAGGAAGATTCATATTTTCTTGAAACATATTGTAAGTCTTGGTTGAAACTATGTAAATTCTTCAAGTAATACCAACACATGAAATTTAATGAAGTCTAATTTTCTTTAGTTCTGGTATGATTATCTAATTTAGAGTAGTAACTTATAGTATTAACATTTTTTTCTAGTTAAAGTTTGAATTTTGTTTTTAGAACTATGTCAAATATAATTGTTTTTTCCTATTACAGATTGTTATCTTTCATATTGTGACTAGTAGACCAAATTTATCACCAAGAGTCATAAAAAACATGCCCCCTACTATAGTGTTATAGCCAGAGATGTTCTTATATTATTTGGATCGTTTGGTTCACACATTAAATTATTCAGAATTATAGTCGCGTGATTTTAATTTTTAACTAATTTATTTCACCCGAAAGATGGGATAAAATAGTAGTACCAAGTTGGAAGGGATTATAGAGTGAATAACTTAGATGGTCACTCAACTATCCATTGTTTTTACAGAACGTCACTCAAGTTCCATTTTCAACTCAAAAGTTACTCAATTATAACTTTTTTGCACATAAAGTCACTCAACTTTCATTTTCAACTCAAAAGTCACTCAACTATGATTTCTTTGCACAGAAAGTCACTCAACCTATTTAATTATTTTTCATTAAAATTTAGTGACATAAAATTTTGATTATTAACCAAAACTTTAAGAATCAAATATATACCCATTTAATGACCGCTCCATTTAACCCGACCCCTTAAAAATATAATATTGAACATTTTATTTTATTATTAATATTGAATTAAATGGGCGGATCACTAAATGGTTTAAATAGATATATATATTTGATTCTTAAAATTTATGTTAATAGTTAAAATTTATGTCACTAAATTTTAATGAAAAATAATTAAATAGGTTGAGTGACTTTCTGTGCAAATAAGTTATAGTTGAGTGATTTTTGAGTTGAAAATAAAAATTAAGTGACTTTTTGTGCAAATAAATCATAGTTGAGTGACTTTCTGTGAAAACAATTGATAATTGAATGACCATCAAAGTTATTAACTCGGGGATTATAGTACCAAATGATCCCATATGGTTTAGACCATATAATTAACAAGCATCACCCCATCGTAATGCATACTAAATTACCAATGCTTATTTTATGTGCAATATCCTAGTATTTGATTACTAGTTCAATGTAGCCTTTTCTTTATCGATATCAATATCAAAACTCCTTAATTAAGTTTAAGATTACCTAATCAAGATTATTTAGAGGGATAAGTGCAGTTGGTAAGCTAATCTACTAACCTCCCTTACCCCATTTCGACCTAAGAAAGCCCGATAAATTAGAAGTTCGATGATCTTAATTATACGTGTATCTATATTTAAGCATATCTTACTTTTGATTTTCGTGCATATTAAGGATTTTTACGTCGAAAAATTTAAGAAAAATGATTAATTAATTAAATATACCATGATAGGTATGTTCCCAAATCTAATCTTGGGAGGTTTTCCTTAAGATACATGAAAAAGTGTTGTATTAAATTAATGTAGGTGGTAAGCATTTCGATATGCCATAAAAGGCTACGAGTAGGAGGGGTGTCAAAACTAACAAATTCGAAAACAGATAGAATTATACTTAATGTAATCGAATTTACTATTAAATTTTAAAGTAAAATTATTATTTTGAATAATATAAATTTATAAGCCCACTGAAATCAAAGTATTTTTTTTATTTTATAAATAAAATTCAACCAAAATAATTGCAAACAACTTTTTATTTATAAATACTAATAAAATTATCTGCACTTCGCGTGAAAATTTGATATCACGAAAGTTATAAAATAGTACTTAGAAGATATTCGTCACTAAAATAAAAAAAAATGTATTGTCTTACATACAAGATTATTAGGAACAAACATTAATAATGTAAAGGAAATTGACAATTATACTATCTTATCATTTATCCTTCAATCAATCGATCTTTAATTTGATTTCATAATTTATCCTTCTACCTCCATGTAGTGTTGTTATTTGATATTTTTAGGAAATTAGATGAACATCAACATGAAACATTAAATTTGTACTAACAAATACTTATAACAAAAACTTTATAGAAATATAAACAACAAAGTTAAAACATGTACTCCAAATAACAATTAATATCATAAGTATAAATTAATGATTGTAAAATAGTATACAGGATCTATAATAATAGAAAATGAAGGAAAAAATTGAGCCCACTAAATGCATTGTGTTTACTTAAAGAAATTATTCCCCTTTAGTACCCGATATTTAAAGAAATAGATACTCTCAGGATGAAACAATTCTATTCTATTCACAAGTGTATTGATACCAAAACATTGGCGTTAGTGAGCCGCTCTATAGGAGCAAAGTGCACGAATATTTCGTTGTGCAGAAGAAAAAAAAGTTCATAATTTTCGTTGTTTCAAAAATCGCTTTATTTATAGACAACAAAGGATACCGTGAACAAATGTTTATTATGTCTTATCGAAAATGTTACTCTTTTAACCCTTCAAAAAGGTCACAATCTTTCTTAAAAGACATAAATTTTCATAAAAGTCGCAAATCTTCATAAAAATTGCAACTCTTATGAAAGTCACAACTTTTCATAAAAATTACATCTTTTCATGAAAGGATTAGACTATTTTTGAAAATGAAATTTTAACTTGTAGTGACATCACATAGGCGGGCTTAAATTCTCTATTATATAAATATATGATATGATATTTTAATGAGCAACTTTCACATATAACAAATAAAAAATTCATATTTGTATGCTATAACAAAGTTTGCATAATTGCGCTCCATAGC